ATTTTCATAGAATCTTCATGGTTTGAGGTTTTCGAATGAAACTTTTTCAAATGGTTTCTGTGATTTTTTTTTTTAAATTTGAAACATTTGAATATCGACTTTCAATTGTTTTTGTTATTCAATTAAGACAAGAAAGATGGATACTGCGAAAATTCGAGTGATTTTTGAATACGAGTTCCGACGCGGAACTAACGCGGCAGAAACAGCCCGCAATATCAATGCTGCGTTTGGAGAGGGGTCTACTAATGAACGCACCGTGCGATTTTGGTTTAAACGCTTTCGTGATGGAAATTTCGACTTAAAGAACGAGCCACGAGGAAGACCGCCCACACAGGTGAATAACGATGAATTAAGAGAGATAGTGGAAGCCGATCCTAGTCAAACTACCCAGGAATTAGCGGCATGGTTTAACGTTACCTTACCCACAATATTGACTCACTTGCGTCAAATCAATAAAATAAAAAAATACGAAAAATGGGTGCCTCATGATTTGACTGATCTGCAGAAAGAAACGCGTGTTGAAACTTGTGTTGCCTTGTTGAACCGGTACAGAAATGAAGGAATATTGGATCGAATTGTAACATGTGATGAAAAGTGGATTCTTTATGATAACCGGAAAAGAAAAATGCAATGGCTGACCCCAGGTCAAATGCCACAACAGTGTCCTAAAGCAAAACTTACCAATAAAAAGGTAATGGTAACTGTTTGGTGGTCTCAGCATGGTGTTATTCTCTATAGTTTTCTCCGATCTGGTCAAGCAATAACGGCAGATGTCTATTGTGCCGAACTCCGAACCATGTTGACAAAACTAGCAGTAAAACAGGCCCGACTCATGAATCGATCTTCACCATTATTGCTCCACGACAACGCGAGACCTCACACAGCACGAGAAACCATTTTGACCCTTCAGGAACTGCAGTTAGAAACCATTCGTCATCCTCCGTATTCACCAGACCTTGCTCCAACGGACTACCATTTTTTTCGTGATTTGGACAATTATCTACGTGACAAGAAGTTTTCTTCCCAGGAGGCAGTACAAAATGCTTTCACACAGTTTGTGCAGTCTAGATCGTCGGAGTTCTATCGCAAAGGCATTAATAACCTTCCCATTAGATGGCAGCAATGTATAGATAATAATGGCAACTATTTTGATTAAATAAATTTGTTAAAAATTTAAAAAATAAACAATTTAGATTTTCAGTACAAATCGGCAATTTCATACTTTAACCCCTATTATATATTTGAAATTTCACTTTTCGTAAAGCGTCATCTTCATTTATTTGAATTCGTCACACGAGCCCGCCGTTCTCATCAACTGAAAAGTAGATCATGCAAAACTGCTCTACTTCAAAAAAGTGTAATAGTAATGGCTACGAAGGTATACAACAAACTTCCACCTGAAATTAGGAATTACAATGATTGTGCAGAATTTAAGAAATTATTATTTAATTACCTAAATGATAGGACATTCCATAGTATTCAAGATTTCTTATAAAATTTATATTTCATATTATTACATTTGTTATTGGTTATTATTTTACTATTGTTGTTACGTTTCATTAGTATTAGGTTGCATTAATTGGACTTCATGATTATAATAGAATAGAATAGAATTATTTATTTCGGACCATGATCCATAATAATGTTAGTAATACAGTAAATTTTTCTTACGTGCTATGGTTAGTACAATACAAAATTACTTAATTCTATTGAAATGCCACGTCTAGATCACTACCCTACGCATGTGTACTTGCACCGAATGTATTTGGTAGGGGCAGTCCAGCCTATTGGCAACAACGGCTAGAACGCCATTTGCGCTGCCGCGCACACGCATCATGAGTGAGGCAGCCTTCTTGCGCATGATTGCATGAAAGCCATCTGTGTGCGCCTCCGTGAACATGCCGGATGCACTACACTGACGCGACAGCCCCATTAGCATCCTAAAAGCGTTGTTATATTGCACCTTTAATGTATTCAGTGTTCTCTGCGTATACTTCACCCACAGACTGCTTGTGTAAAAGTTTTGGCAATATGCTTTAAATAATGAGATCTTTACATCTTTGGTGCAACGAGCAAACCTGCGGGCGAGCATATTACATCTAACAGACAGGGCCCTTCTCTCTCTCTCTCCATGTCGGCACTATCATGCAAGTTATCTCACTACCATAGAGAAACACAATAATATTACAAATTATTGCATGAGAATTACTAAAACTAAGAAAACTTTCTATGCCAAACGGCGGACCACATTAATTCAAAATTCATTCTTGTAACAACTTTATAACCTGTGTACCTATCACAGTAATTGATTCGGACGGATGTCTGACGGAGATCGAAAGTAGACCCCCTGTCACGGTTTGATAAGAGACTTTGTTTCGAATCCAACCGGATCGAAGTGAATGTTTTCTAAGTATACAATCTTTGTTTAATAATTACTACAAACTAGTGGAGTAATTCCACAAAAATAATTGAATATCAATTCTATACAAATTTAACCTCCTCCTTTTTCGTCGGTTAAAAAGTAAGTTACAACATGTGTCTTTTTATGTTATTAACCGGAATAATTATAAAAAATGAAAATACATTTAGCAGATTTTTCTTAAAGTACCGTTACTGTAAAAACCATGGTAGGCTAATAAATCTGCCGCCTCTCACTCAGAGGCCATGGGTTTGATTCCGGGCTCGCACATCAAAGAGCTAAGCGGCGAAGGAGAACAAGGAACCTGCACCAGCAGTGTGACGTATCATTGGGTTGACAATGCGTGTGCCATCAGATGTTCTTAATAGATTGACTTATATAATAACTTTATGAAGAACATACAATAACTTATATAATATAAACTGCCTCCGTGGCCGAACAGATACCGTGCCGGACTGCCACGCAGAGGTCCCAGGTTCGATTCCCGGGCCGGGAAAAATATTTGTATGGCCTACATTTATTTCTCTCGTGAGTTTGGGTGTAATTTGTGGTTGTCTATGTGTGTGTCCATGGCACCCGCGACACAGGGTTTCCCTAGTGCGGGGATATGTTGAGTGTGTGCGTTGTTATATAAAATAATAATAATAATAATTTTATATTTCTCTAGTACTGCAATTACTTGTATTATGTCCGACTTTGTAAGCAACTTTATTAAATGTTTTGAAATGGCAGACAACATAGCGGGCAAAAGCTTATAAATATAGGAAATTGAGTTAGTAACCGTAATTATTAGTAATTTATACTATTTGTCCCGCTGAGTTAATTATAAAGTTAATATAATGTTATTAGCAATGGGACTTACTGCTTTTCTGTAATTTTTTACACGCAAAGATTAAGAAAATTGTATTCCCATTATTATTATTAATATAGTTCTCAAAGTATTTTTTAGTATCTCGTATACTTTATTCCTCATCATAGTTCCTAGTAGCATCATTTTTAATTCTTTCTCCGTGGGTGGATATTAATAAGGCTGACACAATCACGGGCAAAAGCTAGTGTAAATACAAAATTAATTGACCATTTCTAATGATTTTAATTTTATACTATTTGTTTCGCTACCTTAATTATCTAGCATAGCTGTATCGATTGATCACAGTTACTACTGTGGAATATAAAAGGGGCTAAACTTGGTGATAAATTTATGTACCTTAAAAGCAATCATGGTGCGAGCTTCTTTTCTTTGTGTTCAGTTGATATTCCTCGTTGGAATCGCCACTTGTGTAAGATGAATACCTTTACTTTATATACCGTTTGTAAAGCATCTTATTTTTTGCCATGAAAAAACGCCACGGCCATTTACGGCCCACAGGTGCCACGTGTTCTTGCTTAGGTATACCTGGATCGAAACATCAATTCCACGGTTAAACTATAGTGACACATAATCAAGTGTAAGATGAGCGCGATCAGTATTGTTCCGAACAATGTACTCTTTCAATCAACCGTATATTATTAAATAACCATTACTTACAATTTCTTTGAATGCTTTGAAGTTGTAATTAAGAAAAAAATATATAGAGAAGTGTATAAATTAAATAAGTTATGTAACACAATAACTTTAGCAACATTTGTAACAATAGTTCCGAAGTTTACCGTTGGATGGCATTGGCATAGGAAACACGATTTCTGAATCGCGATGTTAAGATTTTCCCCAATGTAATAACCATGGCTAGTGTTTTGTAACAATAGTTTCGATATTTACTACTAGACGGCGTATAAAATGTAATTTCTGAATCGTGGTGTTAAGATTTTTCCATTCACTAGTACTTTGTAAGAAATTGAACAGATCTCTTCTTCAATTTACCTTTTGTTACAGTTGATCTATTCAACGATTGCATTTCTATTGTTATCCTCATTACTAAGGAAACTCGCGCCCATCTTTCGGGACAAGTTACGAGAACACCATGTATAGGGTTAATATCGAATGGAATTCCCTGCCTGCAGACATATTCCCCGAACGCTATTAGGCATTACTTAAGTGCTCATGCTTCATCGTCAATATTATCGTCAGTCCACACAAAAAATGAAATTTATTTATTATACAGATTCTCTGTACTTGAATAACAAAAATCCTCGAGTTCATTTTGGCTCTTCAGAATGTTTCCATCTATAATATTAAAAATAAATGTTCTTAATTATAAACGTTAACAAAGGTATATTTACTAAGAGCAATCCAATGTAATAAAGAATATTATGTCTCTGCAGGGGAGCCTGCCTTACGCTTGCCTACTAATAGGTAGTAGTATGTTTAATAAATACAATTTGCGTACTCACGCACCCTTCATGGAAGAATGGCATAAGTGGAGTTACGTCAAAAACGTTCATTGCTCCTTTAGACACAGAAGAATATAGCCCACATCCTCTCCGATTCTTGTAACTCTATCTACAATATTAGTCGCTAGAGTTACAAGAATTGGAGAGGATGTGGGTTATACTTTTCTGTATCTAATGGAGCAATTAATATGTTTGACGTAACTCCACTTATGCTACTCTTCCTTGAGGGGTGTTAATGAAGCCGTTCTTGGACTTGAATTTGATGTAACCCCTACAGATTTTTTTAAGCAATTTATTGTGTTTCAGATGGCAAATTCTCAAGACCTGAATGGCCCCTTTAAACCCGTTGGTAGTGATGTAGTCAGGCTCATTACTGAAGCAACTATAGAAGATTATAACGAAATACTCGCGCTTAACTATCCACGTAGTTTTGTACATCTCACGAAGATAACCAATTTTAAATTCGAATTTCCAACCATGTTTCCAAGTTATAATTTAAGAGTTTGGTTTGAAGTCACCAAATATTCGGAACTACCATCTGCGCTGCCAATTGTTATTGAGACGAAGGTGCCGTGTTATATGTTCGTTTCTGAATCTTTAGGTAAAGACATAGTAAAGTATATTTATTGTAACCCAGATCCACAACATAGGGCATAATGAAATCAGATGATGAGAATGTGGCAAAACTTGTGGGCATAAACAAGTCTTAATACTATTAGAAATACTTCCAACGCTATAACCTCTCATATATAAACTTTAAACTATAAATTTAACTAAACAAACTGTTGCTTTTATAATGCGAAATATGAAATTATATAGTTAGATTTAAACTTTCAGGATTTCACACATTATTAGATTTTTAATTCGGGAATTAATCACGTACAAATATATTTTAATTACCTCGACTTTTCGGACGTATTGCAATGTCCATGGCCTCAAGAGGCACCCGCCAGCATCTTCTAGCCGTGCGAGTTTTACTAACGACCCGCACTCGATCTTTATTATTTAAGTGCGGTCCTCTCCCGATTTAAAAATCGAATAATGCAATTATATATCAACAACACAAAGTTGATTTTGAATAAAGAATTTCTTTAGGCATCCTGCGCAACTGAACATACGAGATTGTGAGTGCTAAACGATAGCCATTTCGAATTTAATCGAATTTGTTACTTTGCATGTAAACGGGATAATGGAATAAAGCAAAATAAAAATATAAAAAGTTGTTTTCTTTGTTTCTGCTTAAAACTGCGCACTGACAGGGACATATTCTATTTGACACAAAAATATATAGAAAATAGGACCAGATAAATCGACATAGCTCTTGAATTTGCTAACTGGCTTTGCAGTGAGAGGAGCACTCCCATACACTCGTGGAATTGATTATGTATGTGACTGAATATTGTCCTCAGGAAAAAGAGCACAGAAGAAAATTCAAAGTTATCATCATAATCTAGTTTAAAAATTTCAAGGTTTTTCTGATAAACAGAACAATTAAGTTACATTTCACAAACAAATTAAATGACATTTCACCTCTATTTCTGGTTATATACTCGATGTGGAGTAATTACAGGCACAAGGGACTTGTCAACTTCTGTCCCAATGGCCCCTCAGGTCTTTGTAATTTAAACCTCCGAGTGGCACTGCAACGATACGGTCAGGAGTGTCGCTTACCACCAGACGCACGACTTGTTCGACCCGTCACTTGGTATTATAAAGAACAAAAGAAAATTGACAAGTCTATAAAATTAAATTAAGCACAGAACCTTACATAATTTACATGGTATTAATTGGCTCCTATTCCAATTTATTAAAAACCCTAAGGATTCCAATACATTTATTATAGTTTCAATCTTAGAATAATAACGCATAGAAACCTAGCCCGCACACGCTATGTGAGGCAAATTGAAGCGCTCCCAAAGGGCCTACACGAGCGGGCGGGTCTTCAGTGCTCAAGGTCAACTAGCACCGCGAACAGCTCCAGAATTTTAGCTAAAAATGACGAAATGTGCGGTAAATGAGTGTAAAAATACGTCAGACAAACATAAAATAGATACTAACATCACATTCCACAAGGAAGTAACGCGTTTCAACTTGTATTTTTATACAAATATTCACTAAAACCGAAAATTAACCTACTACTAAAACTAGCCTACATGAATTTGATTTTTGGCTCGTGACAGTTCGTTTGATATGAAACTATCATTTTATGCGTTATTATTCTAAGGTTTCAATATTAATAACGCACACACTCCACATAGCCCCACACTAGGGAAACCCTGTGTCGCGGGTTCCATGGACACACACAAATTACACCTAAACTCACGAGATAAATAAATGTAGGCCATACAAATATTTCTCCCGGCCCGGAAATCGAACCTGGGACCTCGCGTGATGGTAACCGTTCGGCCACGGAGGCAGATGTTGTATTTACAATACTAAATACTTTATTTTATCTTGTTGGAAGACCAAAGGCGTATCTTACTGAGTACAAACTGAAATAAAAATGGAGAATCAATTATATTTGCTTTTGCTTTTACAATTTAATTCATAATTTTGCAAAACCGGAACGCAGTAATGCTCACATTACTGCTTGGTGGCAGAAATAGATAAGTAGTGGGTAATTACATAAAATAAAATCATATTAAGGTAGCACATATGGGTATATGTAAGAATCTATACTTATATATAAAAAACTTAGTTTGAAATACTTAATTACACGAGTTTAAACCATATCCATTAAATTGTGTGCGACTAATCTGGCTAACAACAGCCACTTACGAGCACCAGAAGACGAGGAAATATCACCCGTCGCGACGGCTACAGAGACGAAGTCTAGAAAAATAAAAGACCGGGATTTTCTTGAACTTTCCGCAAGATAAAGTGAGGATATACGTTTCAGGGAACGTTGTAGTTTTACCACTATTTCATGAGACATTTGTGACGGAATAAAATCTCATAACGAACGTATACGATTCGTTTTGGTTTAATAAATTGATACAGTTGTTACGGAAATTTCTATTTCATAAAATGAAAATAGACTTAACCATCATAAGTGGATTTCAACCAATTAATTTCATCACAATTGTTGAAGGACAATGTTGTGATAAAACCTGCATGATCAAGAAGGTTCACACCCTCAGGAAATGTCTAAAGTGTTCCGCATTGGGTCAAAATGGTGGACCTCGGCCTAACATTCTCCTTAAAGAGATTCGTGTGCTTCAGTGGAACGTATGACTGTTTGTTTATCTTCTAGCTGGTTTTTTTGTATAATATCAAGTCGAACGCCTGATGGTAAACTACATGCCTGTCATAACAGTAGCAGTGCCACTCAGAGCTTTAAATTGCAAAGATCTCGTCACCCTGAGACATAAGTTGACAAGTCCCATGTGCCTGTAATTTCACCAGCACCCTTACCCTTCAAAACCGGAACACAATAATGCTGACATTACTACTTGGCGGCAGAAATAGGTAACGTGGCAGTACTTCCCTGGACGATCTCTTTCACAAGGAGCTCTACTGCTACTAAAGGTTTCTCCGTCACAAGCTTTACTTACCCTCGAAAGCTACGAAAGAGTAGCGATAGTCCAGTAGAACTGTCATATAGGAGAAATCAACCTGAATAACACATAACTGGTGATAGATAAAATATGATTTTAAATTACAGTCCATTTCACGTAGGATGGATACTGTAACATTCCAAATTTTTACATTGCATGCGTACTATTTTCAACACATCTCTCAACTAATTTGCAAAAAGAAATAGTAAATTTCTTATAACATACCTGTTCAAACAACCTTTGAACATTCAAATCAGCAGGTGAACGACCCAAAAAAAAGAATGCAGGGAAGTGCTTCAACTCCACTCTACTCAGCAAGACGAACGACCGAAAACCAGGCTGCAAGATAATGCTTCAACGGCGCTTTACACCGATGAGACACTTCGATTTTAGAGACCTCTTTTGTAATAGTGTGTGTTAATGTAAATTTGTATATGCAATTAACTTGTTATTCTAACTAAAACTAGTCTTTTACGCAGTCGAGTTTAATTTATCTCTTGCTAGCATCTAAATGGCTTTGGCCATGGCTAAAGGTGTCTTTAGCCATCAGTAAATCGGTTTTGTAAGTCTGTGAGACCGGCAGTGAGAATATCCATCCGAGTACACCCTTATTTCCTTCCCCCCGTCTGTCTGTTATCTTAGGTCTCACGGCGCAGATATCCTGTACTTATCTATATATTTATTTAGCATATTTATATGGTTAGGGCTAGGGCCTGTTAGGGTACTTAGGGTGATAGGCACCTACGGGCGCTAGGGTTCTTTTTACCCTACCTTATTAAGTTTATTCTGTACAGTTTGTCGATGACCACAGATACACCGCAGACATACAGACAAGCACTAGTCAACAGACTGTACATTTTGGTCCTTCGAGCCGGATTGAACCAGCGACTCAGTGATCTATGGATATAACCAAAAACAAACCATATTTGTTGGAATTGTCAATATACTGTAATTTTAAGTAAAAATTACAGTATATTGAGTAGATAGAAACGGCTATTGTGTATCTCGCTTCGATTTGTTTTGTTTTGATCAATAAAGTCGGGTCGATTTCTTATGTTTTGAGTTTTGCGTAACGGCGTTGAAGTAATTATTTATAAATTCCTTTCGTTGCTGTTGATCTTATGCTATCTTATTGACTTTTGTTTGGATAATGTTGATTTTTTATTTGTTGTGTAGTTTGTTTAGTAACTTAATAATATAATAAACGAATCCTTCTTATTTTGATTATTATTTGTTCCTAAATTTTTGTCCCCAAATTTTCTTAAAATCATTTTTTTTGGATTTTACGTCACTGCATCTTTAGAAACTTCAAATCCAAACGTCACCGTATCTATGCTATGTGAAATGAACTATAATATTTGATTCTGGTCGAAACTGACTCTGGCCCAAGCCTAGTGGCCACCATTGAGGAAACAATAATAATATTTAATTCCATAATATGGATAAGAGGGAGTGGACTTTCGCCCACCAGTGGAACACGACAAACTCGTAATATAATTTGTGAAGTTTAGTAGCATTGTATTAAGTACAACACTGTCATTGCTTTGGGGTGTCGTAGCAAACTACGACCTAAACCCTCTCTTTATAGGAGACCCGTACGCAGCGGTCGAACGTACAATGTATTAGCGATGATATTAAATAATACCGTAAAGCTACAAAGAAGTTTTGTCTAAACTAAATTATTTATCCGTTGTTATATCGCGTACCACAGCTCGCCATAGTATACAATTCAAAGAGCTGACGACCAAATTCAAAAACCTGTTTGTAAAACAATGTATTTGAAAATAGTATTTTGCAATATAACTGTTTCGGCCGCGACAAATTGGGTGCACTTTAAATTGTTGTTAAATTTACGATTTGAAAGGATTATTCCGTATTTTTCTATATTATTTTGGTGTAAGGACGTGTCCAACATCCAAAACCCATTGTTCGACATCAAACATAAACAAAGAAAACAACTAGTTCATCTCCATTGGCCTTGATATATCACAATCTCTAATAACTGCCTCTGTGGCCGAACGGTTACCGTGCTGGACTGCCACGCAGAGTCCCCGGGTTCGAGTCCCAGGCCGGGAGAAATAATTGTATAGCCTACATTTATTTCTCTCGTGTCTTTGGGTGAAATTTGTGGTTGTCCATGACACACAGATAGATTTAATAGTGTTATTTCACATGGCTATTTGTATTTTAGTATTTGATATATTTTGAACAATCACCATTTGTGTAGATATCATGTGTTAAAGTATTTGCCTTGTTTGCGCTGGTCAGTTTCTTGCCGCACATTAAAGGAGCCAAATAAACAAATACGCAAGCAAATGTGTGGAAGTGGAAAATAATACAAACTAGCAATATTAACGCGAAAATATTATACAATTCGAAATATGAAGAAAACAGAAACTACAGTTTGCCAGTGTAGACAAATAGCGACTTATTTTTTTAACGTTCCCATCATCTTCGAACAGAAAGCCAGTTTCAATATGACGTAGTCTTAGTAAGCACGTCTGCTACCGTCAAATCAGTTTGAATGTAGTGG